GGAAGAAAGAGAGAGGCCTCTCTGCCAGATGCCAGAGATGCTAACTGAACAGGGAGAACCGCAGTCAGACAACCGACTACAGGCAAAACAGGATAAGCTTGTGGGAGAAACAGGGCCGTCTCTCTTCCTCTCACTCACTTTTTGGACTATGAAAACTAGTTTAAAAACTTACCCTGTGGTGCCTACTTCCTGCAGCTGTGGAAAAAGCCAAACGACAGCTGTATAGACAAACACAGCAGGTGGAGATATAAGCAGTTGGAAAGAGATCCCCGCAAGTTCCCCGTTTTGTCCAAGAAACGTTCATTTCCCTATCCGGTGCCCAGGGCTCTTTTTGTAGAAAAAGCCCAGCAGGAACTCATTAGCATAATAGGCCACACCAAAAAGCAGAAACTCATTAGCCTATTAGGCCACACCCCTGAGAGCACAGCTCATTAGCATACTAGGCCGTACCCCCATGTTACCAGAAGTGTGGTTATCCAGCCACACCCACCTTTTGCTTGTTATTCTGTTTACCTTGTTTGTTGTCAAAACCCAGGGGGGGTTTTGTAGCAGGAACTCCTTTGCATGTTAGGCCACACACCCCTAATGTAGCCAATCCTAATGAGTTTCTGCTGTTGGGTGTGGCCTATTATGCTAATGAGTTCCTGCTGGGTGGCCAACTTGGGAGCCAGCCGGAACTCCGTTCCTGTGCGTTTCTGCCCAAAAATAGCCCTGCCAGTGCCAAAGGCATGGCGACAAACTATTTGCTTGCACCCAATCTGTGATCTACACCCAACTCAGCGATAGGAGAGTTAAAGCCTCGTTACCTGAACTCAGCTGCGGAATCACTCATGGTCCATTTAAGACAAAGTCTCTCACAGAGACTTACCTCTTGCAGCACAATGAAAGATCAGAGGCCAGAATTGTCAGCAGAACAAGCAGAGAACTTCTTGGAGTTAATGATTTTGTTTAAAATAAAGCATTGCGCTGTTTATTAGGCACGAACTTGATAGATATAAACAGGTCAAATGACTTCTACAAGTATAGAAAAAAATGCATGCGATAAAAAGCAGTTATCTTAACATTTCTCAAACTTTGCTAAAGACCTAAGCATACCATTATCTAAGATTAAGGCAAATTAGGTTTTAAGTGGATTGGCAAAATACTGTGTAAAATGGGAAGCCCAGCACAAATGATATGTTTATTTAATGTATGTTTATTTAATGTTTATTCTCTGACTGCAAGCCACCAGCAGACAGTCTCATTAGATGTCTACGTGACACTTTTTTTATAAAGGAGGTGACAGATTGGGGGGGGGGAATAAAACTGTAAATTAACATGGGATGTGGAATGGTATACTGTGACTTGACGGCACTTAACACCTGAACACAACCTTAACATGCAATTGTTCTCTAAGGCCCCGGTCACACGGCAAAGTTGCCACGGGAGAGGCACAGATGGTGGGCGGATTATCCGGGCGTGATCACACCCCAACATCTGGGAAGTGGAGCGCACCCGTGGCTTACCGCCGACAATGCGCCTTAAAAAACGAGTACCTCCAAGGTACTAGTAAACGTTTGCCATGGGCTGCCTCCAGACGCCCATGGTGTGATTGCGCTGGCGCGCAGCATTCCCCTCCGGTCCCTCGTTTACCCGCCGGCGTGAGGGAAGGACCCGTGGTGTGCCGCCGGTGCGTCTGATTGCGTAATCGCGCATCAAACTGCACCGGATCAATCAGCCACGCCTCCCCCCCCCCCCGCGATATCCGGCCTGTGTGACCGGGGCCTAAGAAAAATAATTGGTCCCCAAAGAGATTATGCAAATGACTAACAGGTGGATAACAGTACATACGGAAATGAGCTTGTGAGTCACTGCTCACTTCTTCAGATACAGTTAGAATGTGAGTCCACCTGTCCTTATATCTTGGAGAGTGGAGTGATTTCAGGTGACAAACAACAATAGGTCAATGACAATAGCAAGCATGATTCTTACATTAGAAACCAAAACATTCAAAAGGGGGGGGGGCATTTTAACCTTCCAGGACATTCAGTTGCTGACTTAAGATTTCCTTACAAAGGAATTTCAAAGGGAGATGATAAGGAGAAAATGCTGAATTGCAACTGATATGGAAGCGCAAGGCAATGCCTCTTCCTGGACGGAATCAAGCCTTAGGACATTCTAGCTGCATCTGAAGAAGTGAGCATCAGTGACTCACAACAGCTCATAAAGGTAAAAGTCTCCCTTGCTCAAAAGCCAATCAAATCCGACTCTAGGGTTGCGGTGCTCATCTCCGTTTCAAAGCCGAAGAGCCAGCGCTGCCCAAAGACGTTTCCATGGTCATGAGGCCGGCATGACTAAACACCAAGGCGCACGGAACGTTGTGACCTTCCCACCGAAGTGGTCCCTATTTATCTACTTGCAATTTCTTGCTTTCGAACTGCTAGGTTGGCAGGAGCTGGAACTAGAGACGGGAGCTCACTCCGTCATGCGGCACACTCGGGTCTCGAACTGCTGAACTACCGACCTTCCACAGCCTGCAGCTCAGCGTCTTAACCACTTGAGCCACTGCAGCTCCTCAACAGCTCATACCCTGCCACAAATTTTGATGGTCTTGAAAGGGCTACTGGACAGAGTAACACAGGTACCCATCTGGATCTACAGTACATCTTGACAACTTCCATTACATTCCCAAAGCATCTGGTATTACTTTTGCTATATCAATGAACTGACCAGTTGAGAGGTGGTCCTGAACTTCTGGTACTTTTCCAGAGCAGCAGCTGAACTTTACAGAAGTTATGAAACTACTTATGAATATACAGATTAGTATGCAAACATGCTCCTGCCAACCTAGCAGTTCGAAAGCAAGAAATTGCAAGTAGATAAATAGGTACCACTTCAGTGGGAAGGTAACAGCGTTCCATGCGCCTTGGTGTTTAGTCATGCCAGCCACATGACCACGGAAACGTCTTCGGACAGCGCTGGCTCTTCAGCTTTGAAACGGAGATGAGCACTGCAACCCTAGAGTTGGATTCGACTGCTTTCGAGCAAGGGAACCTTTACCTTTTATGCAAACATGAATGACAAGATGAATGGGCAACATCACTAGATGAATAGGACCCCTGACTCCACCACCCCAAGACATTGCAATGGGAGTATGGAGGCCTGCGTAATGGAAGCTTCCCAGAGGTTTGTTCCCTTGTGATTATGGTTAAGATAAGTTACTACTGTTCGAAGAGTGATCACTCTATTACTACAGAACAGTACAAAAGTGTCTTAGGAAATAAAAATATATACTCTATTATATATACTCTATAGTCAACATAGTATTTAAAAATTGGATGGAAAGAAGCTAGAGAAAAAAATATAGATAATAAAGAGATAGGCTATACATTTAAAGATTTAGAGCAGGTTGAGAAAGAAGTACTTTTCTCCCTTTCTCACAATGCAAGAACTCGTGGGCACTCAATGAAACTGCTGAGCGGTCGGGTTAGAACGGATAAAAGGAAGTCCTTCTTCACCCAAAGAGTGATGAACACATGGAATTCACTGCCACAGGAAGTGGTGGCGGCTACAAGCATGGACGGCTTCAAAAGGGAATTAGATAAGCATTTATGGAGCAGAGGTCCATCGGTGGCTATTAGCTACAAGGTATAGATAGGGACTCTCAGGCTGGGGCAAGTGATGCTCTGTATTCTTGGTGCTTGGGGGGGGCAACACTGGGAGGGCTTCTAGTGTCCTGGCCCCACTGATGGACCTCCTGAAGGCACCTGGTATTTTTGGCCACTGTTTGACAGAGTGTAGGACTAGATGGGCCATTGGCCTGATCCAACATTGGCTTCTCTTATGTTCTTATTACATTTAAACCAAGAAACCGATGGGCTGGCCATTTAGCGCAAAAGAAAGGAGCCCCAATGGCTTCCAATGTTTTGTTTCTGTGCTCAAGGGATCTTCTAAGTAGATAAAAGGTAAGTAAAAAGAGACATCCCCCTTTTTGTTTTCTTCTTTTATTGTCAAATGGGACATACAAGAAAGCTCCCAAGAAAAGGAGCTTTGCAGAAGAAACATTTTTGTCCTTTCATCTTGGTGTGACAAACAGTAAGGACCGGCACTGCAAGACATGCAAATCTTGGGGAAGGACAGTGTGGGGAAGAGATCTGGGGTAAGAACATAAGAACATAAGAGATGCCAATGTTGGATCAGGCCAAAGGCCCATCCAGTCCAACACTCTGTGTCACACAGTGGCCAGAAATACCAGTGCCATCAGGAGGTCCACCAGTGAGGCCAGGACATTAGAAGCCCTCTAATGCGTGTGGTATAAGGAGAGATCAGGACACTGATGAGGGCTGTGAAAGAGGAAAGGAGATGGGAGGGCTTTGGAATTTGAGGACAGGGGCTGCGGTCACACAAAGTAAATAATCCATTTTCAATCCATTTTCAGTGCACTTTACAACTGGATTAGTTAGTGTGTGTGACCACAGCTGGGGTGAGTATTATAAGAATGGAACATAAGAGAATAAAGAAAAGGAGATGCATAAAGAAAGGAGAAGAGCTACTATGGCTGCCTTCCACCCTACGTAAGTATTCAAAACTGTTGGAGATTAAAGCTGAGGGGAAGAAGCCTGTGAAGACAAAAGAGACTGAGAAGACAGCACAGGAAAAAAACTGATAACCAGCACGCATGCTACAGATGGAGATCAGGATGTCAAGAGAGTAATGGGGAAAAGGGGGGAAAGACCAACAATGATCTAAGTTTAAGAAAACCTAGGCTAGACACGCAGGGACAGAGAAGTGAGAGAATAGAGCAAAAGGCAAAGTAGGTCAAAATGAGAAGGAGAGAGAGAAAAAGGGAGTCTACACACAGAGTTTAAGTTGCTGTTAGTAAATGTTTTTATTTATTATTTATCTATCTATTTATTTATTTATTTCAATTTGTATCCCACCCTCCCTGCCGAGGCAGACTCATCAGGCTACAAAAGTGGTGAGCTCATCAGAAGGAAGGTTCTATCATGAATAAATCTCATGGTTTCTCTCCTGTGTGAATTCTCTTATGGGAAATAAGACTGTCCCTCCAAGCGAAATGTTTCCCACACTCCAGGCACTGATATGGTTTCTCCCCTGTGTGAATTCTTTGATGAGACTTCAACCCTCCATTGTCTCTGAAGCTTTTCCCACACTCCAGACATTGATATGGTTTCTCCCCAGTGTGAATTCTTTGATGGGAAGTAAGGCGTGCATGGTCCCTGAAGCCTTTCCCACATTCCAGGCATTGATATGGTTTCACCCCTGTATGAATACTTTGATGGGAAGTAAGGTTAAAACTCTGACTGAAGCTTTTCCCACATTCCAGGCATTTATATGGTTTCTCCCCTCTGTGAATTCTTTGATGGGAAGTAAGGTGTGAACTCTGACTGAAGGTTTTCCTGCACTCCAGGCATTGATATGGTTTCTCCCCTGTGTGAGTTCTTTGATGAGACTTCAAGCCTCCATTGTCACCAAAGCTTTTTCCACATTCCAGACACATATATGGTTTCTCCCCAGTGTGAATTCTTTTATGGGAAGTAAGGCGTGTATGGTGCCTGAAGCTTTTCCCACATTCCAGGCACTGATACGGTTTCACCCCTGTATGAATTCTTTGATGGGAAGTAAGGTTAAAACTCTGCCTGAAGCTTTTCCCACATTCCAGGCATTTATATGGTTTCTCCCCTGTGTGAATTCTTTGATGGTAAGTAAGGTGTGAACTCTGCCTGAAGCTTTTCCCACATTCCAGGCATTGATATGGTTTCTCCCCTTTGTGAATCCTTTGATGAGCCTTCCAGGCACCTCTCCCACTGAAGCTTTTTCCACACTCCAAGCATTTATATGGTTTCTCCCCTGTGTGAATCCTTTGATGGGAAATAAGTTGTGAATGCCGAATGAACCTTTTCCCACACTGCAGGCATTTATATGGTTTCTCCCCTGTGTGAATCCTTTGATGGGAAATAAGTTGTGAACTCCGAATGAAGCCTTTCCCACACTGTTCGCATTTATAGGATTTCTCCCCTGTGTGAATCCTTTGATGAGCAGTAAGATTTCTAAGCCCACTGAAGCTTTTCCCACACACCAGGCATTGATATGGTTTCTCCCCTGTGTGAGTCCTTTGATGAGAAGTAAGATTTCCAGGCCGATTGAAGCTTTTCCCACACTCCAGGCACTTATGTGGTTTCTCCCCTCTGTGAATTCTCTGATGGGAAGCAAGACTTCCACTTTGACTGAAGCTTTTCCCACACTCTAGGCACTGATATAGTTTCTCCCCTGTGTGAATTCTTTTCTCCCCTTTGTGAATCCTTTGATGAGCCTTCCAGGCACCTCTCCCACTGAAGCTTTTTCCACACTCCAAGCATTTATATGGTTTCTCCCCTGTGTGAATTCTTTGATGAGAAGTAAGGCTGCCCCTCAGTCTGAAGCTTGTTCCACACTCCAGGCATTTATATGGTTTCTCACCTGTATGAATCCGTTGATGGGAAGTAAGTTTTCCACTCACTCTGAAGCTCTTTCCACATTGGAGGCATCTATAGGGCTTCTCCCCTGTGTGAATTCTTTGATGGCAAATAAAGCTGTCCCTCAGTCTGAAGCTTTTCCCACACTCTGTACATTTGTATGGTTTCTCACCTGTGTGAATTCTTTGATGGACAATGAGGCTTCCACTCTGAGTGAAGCTTTTCCCACACTCCAGGCATTTATGTGGTTTCTCCCCTGTGTGAATTTCCTGATAGGAAGTAAGGCTTCCACTCTGACTGAAGCTTTTCCCACACTCTAGACATTTGCAGGTTTTCACACTTGTGTGAATCCTTTCATGCAAACTTAGGCTTCCGCCTTGAACAATCCTTTTTCCACATTCCAGGCATTTATATTTTTTCTTCTTGCTATAGGTACTCCACTGAGCATTAATATCTGAGTTTTCAGGAATGTTCTCCCTGCTTGCAGCACACTCATCCTCCTCTAATAGACTGGAGTTATCCTTCCCTTCTGGTGTGTATTTTACCTTCCCCTTCCCCAGAGCATCACAATATTCAGCCTTCTTTTTCACGTCTGAATATGTATCCTCTTTCTCCTTCAGTGAATGTTCCTTTGTTTCATTTGCTGACTGCCACATGCCACCTGCTGAAAGAAAGAGACACCTGGTGTGATTACAGGCCACTGTTTGTAAGTATCCGTGTCACAATTTTATAGTAATGGTTGTGTTTGCACTCTGTGAATGCTCAGGGGTTAAGCTCAAACATTCTGTAGAGAGTTCCCTCCTTTGCTTTCTCAATAACTTTTAAATGCCAAGTGGAGTAAGCATGATGTCCAACTCAATACAACAATGAGAAGCATCAGTGGATGTATTAAACCCCCTTAGATTTATTAGCTACCCAAAGGGCTCTTTTTGTAACAGGAACTCCTTTGCATATTAGGTGACACACCACTAATGTAGCCAATCCTCCAAGAGCTTACAGAGCTCTTCTTACAGGAGCTACTGTAAGCTCTTGGAGGATTGGCTACGTTAGGGGCGTGTAGTCAAATATGCAAAGGAGTTCCTGCTACAAAATCGCTCCCTCGCATCTCTGAAGACAAGATGCTCTTCTCCATGAATACAGAATGATCACTTAAAACAGAGAGTTGCCGATCCACGGCTCACACAGGCCTATCCAGACTAAGATCCAGAGACCCAGGAATAAGAACTGCACAAATCCTGCAATCAGTCTAGGGAATGAATGGTTGCAAACACGGATGCAATCAGTTCCACCCAATATCCAAAACCGAATTAAAACCAATGAGAAGCCCTCAGGATTTGACTTGCCACGTAAAGTATGGGAGATGGCTAACAGAAAACAAACAGGCTTTCACAGCTGTGCAGACCTGTTGTTTAAATGGGGCAAAACATCAGGACCCGAGTGGGATTGTGGTGCAGCCTGAGAAACTATTTCCCACCTGTCACAGCAAATGTGAGCGTCGTGCTTTCCAGGCTGATGTGACGGAGCTCTTTGAACTCTCCCCAGTTGCGATTGAGTGGATAGAAAATGTATATATTAGTATTTAGGAGGATTGACCAGTTGGTCTGCATGCTCAACTGTATCTACTTGGTTAAGCATTTTATATTATCATATGCTTCCTCTGTGTAACTCTGCCATACGATAAATAAATAATGCTGCCAGGCATGGGCTTCCTCTCTGCAAGGAGCGCCTAGAAGCCCTCCCGCATCAGAGGAAGGATCGTGGAGGGTGGCAGAGACCAGACACTGGGCACAGGGAAGACAGCCTCAACACTTCTTTCCTTATAAAAGACCTCCTTCCAGTCACGCCTCACAGCAAGGTGGAGAGAAAAGGATCCTCACCCAGAGAGGCCACGATGCCAACGTTCTCCAGCATGACTTCCTTGCACAGAGCTCTTTGGGCTGGGCCCAGCAGGGTCCACTCCCCCGGGGTGAAACACACGGCCAGCACTTCAAAGGACTCCCAGCCCTGGAAGAAGAAGAAAGCATTTTCCAGTGACATTAAGCTGCTCCAAGGGGGGGGGGAATCCTAAAGGCAGAGATGGTAAATTAATACCGGAAGAGCAACACAAAGAGGAAGGGAGAAGAGCCCTGCGAGGACATTGGGTCCCCCCCCTCCCAGTCGTCATTGGGGGCATCTTTTTTTTTAAAAAAATTTTTATTCAGGATATAATCAACCAAATCAAACATTTCTATACTTTTATATCCTACCCTCCTCCCTTTCCCTCCCCCTACATGGCTTCTCTTCCTTGTTACACTTATATCTTTATCATTCCACATTTCAAATCCTTAACATTCAGTAATTATCAAAACAAAATAAATTGTCCCTTACATCCCAATACTTTTCCAAATAATCCTTTCGATCTTTCCAGTCCGCAAAAGTCTTCTGCTTCCATATTATTAAGTTTCCTTGTCATTTTGTCCATTTCCTCCATAAAAAGTAATTTTTAAATCCAATTTCCGATTTCCGGAACTATATCTTGCTCATTGGGGGCCTCTTGAGGCCAGAGGGGCTGCTCTCATTGGTGGGAGGCTAACCGCCGTGTGGGGAAGAGGCCAGAGATGGACACATGGTAAATAATCAAACACTTTCCCACGGGGAATTCATGGGCCGGCACTGTTTCATAGTCCTCGCCTGGGCTTGTCGGCACATCCCATCGTAGACAGGGAGGTGACCATTTTCCTGACTCGCCAGTGGGCAGAGCCAAAACTAAGATGAGTGAGTCTGATTCTCTAAGTCTCGTTACCACAGAAGGAAACATCCCTGCTCTCTGCTGCACATGTACCCACTGACACTCCCCTCTCCCTTACCTGAGCTGGCAGCGTGGTGCTTCTTTTCCCTTCACCACACGCAAGAGAGGATGAAGAAAGAATCAGGGTTATCTTTTCACTGTTGCCTGGGAAGGAGAGAAAGAAAGAGGGTCAGAGAAGCAGCTCTCCCTCCCACAAGAGCCAGCGTTTCAACCAGAGCCTGTGCTTCAGCCGCCTCAGCTCTAGGTCAGCCTGGCCGCCCCTCCATCTGGGCTCTTCTTATGTTCTTATGTTACATCCTTATGAACCTGCCTTTACCCGAGTTATATCCTTAGCCCTACATCATCCTTTTGACTGGAGATGCTGGTGACTGGATCTTTAAACTTCTGCATGCCAGACAGATGCTCTGGCACCGACACAAAACCGAAATTTCAGCCTTCTGCATCTCTCAGCCAAGGGCATAAAAGGAACCTTACCCAGAAAGGCCACATTCCCACAGTTCTCCAGCATGACTTCGATGTACAAGGCTCTTTGGTCCGCATTCAGCAGGTTCCACTCCTCCTCAGTAAAATGCACATTCACCTCCTTGAAGGTCACTGGTCTCTGAAAGAAAAAGAAAACATTTTTTCCTTTTATATTATCCAATAGCTCTTCGCTGTCAGGGGATGTAATAATGGCCACAGAAATAAACAGCTTTAAAAGTGGACCACAGATACATGGAGAAGTCTATCAATGGCTACTAGACATGGTGGCTGAGGAGAACCTTAGCATTCAGAGATACTAAGCCCCTGAATCCAAGAGCTAGGAGGCAACATCAGTGGAAGGCTTTGGCCTCTATGGCCTGTTTTTGGTCATCCAGAGGAACTGGTTGGCCACTGTGTGAGACAGGATGCTGGACTAGATGGACTGATCCAGCAGGGCTCTTTTTATGTTCTTGTGAAGGCCTCAGCTTCTACACTCTATTGTTGGCCCCCTAGAGAAACTGGTTGGCCACTGTGTGAGACAGGATGCTGGACTAGATGGACCATTAGCAATGTTCCCTCTAAGCTGTGGAGTCCTGTGAGCAGAAATTCTACTTTGTGAGCTACTGGCATTAAAGTTGTGAGCAGGTAGTTTGGCTGCTGCATAAAATTAGTTTGCTCTGGAGCCATCTTTCCTGAGCTAAGACAAAAATGTGTGAGCTGGAGGCTAAAAAACTGTGAGCTAGCTCACACTAACTCAGCTTAGAGGGAACACTGGTCTGGAGTCATCCTTCCTGACTAAGACAAAAATTGATGAGCTGGAGGTTAAAAAACTGTGAGCTAGCTCACACTAACTCAGCTTAGAGGGAACACTGAATTAGTCTGATCCAGCAGGGCTCTTCTTATATTCTTGTGAAGGCCTCAGCCTCTCTGCCCTGTTGTTGGCCATCCAGAAGAACTGGTTGGCCACTGCGTGAGACAGGATGCTGGACTCGATGGACCACTGGTCTGATCCAGTGGCGCCCTTCTTATGTTCTCATGAAGGCCTTGGCCTCTCTGCCCTGTTGTTGGCCCTCCAGAGGAACTGGTTGGCCACTGCGTGAGACAGGATGCTGATCTAGAGGGCCCACTGGTCTGATCCAGCAGGGCTCTTCTTCTGTTCTTCTGTTCTCCTTTTAGCCAAATTCATAAGGTAGGTTGATGATGCAGTTACCCAGGAGGATTCAAACTCCTTTTTTTTTACACAGCTTCCCTAGTGGGCAGAGGCAAAAGAAGATGGATGGCTTCAGGCCCAGGGAGATGTGGAATGATCGCGGAATCCTACACATGGACACACATGAAGGTGCCATATACTTAACCAGCCCATTGGTCCATCATGGTTGTCTACCTGGACCGGCAGCGCCTACCCAGGGCCTCAGGCAGAGGTCTTTCCCATCACCTACTGCCTGGTCCTCTGAATGGGAGAGGCCAGGGACTGAGCCTGGGACCTTCTGCATGCCAAGCAGAGGCTCTACCACTGAGCCACAGCCCCTCCCCAGCCGAATTCGGCCTGCCTCCACCGTGACTCTTCACTGACCTGCTCCACCTTCACAGAACCCGTTTCCACTTCATTATGAAGAGAAGACGACGGAGCAGAAGCCACTGGTGTCCTTCTGTCGCCTGCAAAGGTCACAAAAGTGGCGGGAGGCACCGTTACCCTTTGCACACATTTTTCTACTCTTACAAACATTTTGAATTGCAGTTCCTTGGGGGGGAGGGGGATGGGACAAAAAACACTCTGTCTCCCCGCACTGCATCTTGGGGCAGAATGCAACATGCCGTTTGGGACAGATGCCTTAAATGTTGAAAATAAAAAACTGTTTTTAAACGTGACGGAGGGTAGAGACTGACATCTTCTTCGCAGGGACTGAGGAGAATGCTTTTTTAAAATATTACTCATTACAGTACTTACTCAAAGGTAAGAGTAATTCCCCCCTCCCCCAGTATGTTGTCAAACAAAAGGGGGGGGCATCTTACATTGGTATGGTTGCCAACCTCCAGATGGGGCCCGGAGATCTCCCAGAATTACAGTTTGTCTCCAGACGACAGAGATCAGTTCCCCTGGAGAAAATGGCTGCTTTGGAGGGTGG